ATCTACAATGTCTGGCCTCAACAAGAGCCTTTTGCTGGTTTCTCTACACACTCAGCAGTTATTGTCACAACTTCACTGAAATCCAAACTGATACAACCACTAGAAAAAAAAAGTAAAGTACATGCTACTCTCCATTGTCATTGTCTTCACAGAGGTCTACCTCAGAGTTCTAGTCTTTCTTGTCATGCACCTAACCATGCTTTCTAACCCTCTAACCCTCTACCAGTCAGAATCTTCCAAGATCCAATGCAAAAGCCCCTTGACTTAGGTTATTGATAATCAAATCATTTCTTTACTGCTCCAGCAAAACCTTAGATCGTTGTCTGTGTTATGTGTGTTACTTTATCCTATCCACTTACATTTTAACTGGTAGCCTGGAAGGTCCTAAAGTACAGAATTCATGAAGAATGAATTGTCATGAACACACCCAAATACCTAAGAGGTGACTAATCTGAATAGACTTTAATTACTTCCCAACGGTTTATTCATTTTATAAATACTTACTGAGCTTAAGCCAAACCCCCCAAAAATCTTTGTTCTTGTGATGTTTTAACTTTTAATGATAAGATCCAGACCATAAACAAAATGAATTCACAAGTGTATAGTATGTGAAGTGGAGAGTAATGATAAGGATAATAAAAGTAGAGCAGGAAGGTAGTAGAGGCAGTGAGTGATCACGAAAGGCTCTCCTGTGAAGTGGGCAAGTAAGCAGAGTTAAAGGAGGTGAGCTGGGCAGCTCTGCTAATATCTTAAGAGAAGGGTACTGAAAAAGGAGTGAGAGAGATAGGAACCTGTCTGGCATAGACAGCCAAGAAGCTAGAGTGGTTGAAGCAGAAAGAGTGAGAGAAAAAAGGGTAGAGGGACACAATGGGGGAGGTCTTAAAAGGCCTTGTTAGCTATTGCACTAAACTTGGCATTTATCCTTTCTCAGTTGAGAGACCTAATCCTACATTTGGAAAGTATTATCCCAGCTCTTGAGTTTAGATTAGATTACATTGGATTGGATTAGATTAGATTGGATTAGATTAGAGGTCAAGAACAAGGTATCAATTAAGAAACTACTACATGGGGGCTGGGAAACTGGCTCATAAGGCCCTGGGTTCAATTCCTCAGCACCACATAAGCAGAAAAAGCCAGAAGTGGCGCTGTGGCTCAAGGGGTAGAGTGCTAGCCTTGAGCTGAAGAGCTGAGGGATAGTGCCCAGGGCCAGAGTTCAGGCCCAGGACCAACAAAAATAAATAAATAAATAAAAAGAAGGAAACTACTACAGGGGGCAGAAGACTGAGGGAAGAGGTGACACTGTCCAAGAAGAAATGTATTCTTTACCTGACTTACGTGCATCACCTTTATAATAGGAATTTAAAAAATTAAAAAGAAGCTAGTACAGTAAGTTAAATGAGATACACTGTCTATTATACCTCTAATTTTCTGCCTTCCCAGAATAGCAGGCTTTCTGGCCCCTGAAGCTTGGCCTAGCCTTAATATTTAGCTTAGATGTCTCTAAGGATTATATAGATGTTCAGCTCAGAGTCAAATCTTCCCATGTGAGTTCTAAACTGAGTTCTAAACCAGAGTATAGGAAAAACGTGAAGGGAAGGGCCTAAAGACAGGGAAAGCAGTCTGTGGCACTACCTAAAACTAGTGGTGAGGTCGCTACAAGACATCACGGCGAGAGACACTGTAATGAGGGCTACCAATGTGAACACATGTGGACTATTTGTTCCCCCAACAATACTTGGAATTTCCAAACAAGGCAGCAAGAGCTGTTCCTTTGAGTTGTGCAGATGAAGACCAAAGGAACAACAACACAGTAAATCTGAAAAATGGTTTATGGAGCCTGAGAAACAGATTATGTCAGTGGAAAGATGTAACAAAGGGCAAAGATCAGTTGTGAAAATCATTAAATCCAAGGAAATTCTAGGTAGTGCCTGTGAAAACACTTCAAGGATCAACAGAAACATCTCAATTCCCAGTAATTAAAACCACAAGGGCTAGGATTGTTGATCAGTAGTAGAGTGCTTGCCTACCATGCACCACAAAAAATGCTGAGAAATCTACACACACATAAATAACTATAAATGTGCCAGTAAACATATCCTATTAAATGAGATGTTGGGCTGGGAATATGGATGGCTTAGTGGTAGAGGGCTTGCCTAGCATGCATGTAGCCCTGGATTCAATCCTCAGTACCATATAAAGAGAAAAAGCCAGAAGTGGCGCTGTGGCTCAAGTGACAGAGCACTAGCCTTGAGCAAATGAAGCTCAGGGACAGTGCCCAGGCCCTGAGTTCAAGGTCTAGGACTGGCAAAAATAAAAACTAAAAAATAAGCCGGTGCCAGAGGCAAACGCCTGTAATCCTAGCTACTCAGGAGGCTGAGATCTGAGGACCACCATTCAAAGCCAGCCGGGGCAGGAAAGTCCATGAGACTCTTATCTCCAATTAACCACTAGGAATCTGGAAGTGGTGCTGTGGCTCAAGTGATAGAGCACTTGCCTTGAGCTGAAGAGGTGAGGGCCAGCTCCCAGGCACAGAGTTCAAGCCCCACGGCTGACAAAAATAAATTAAGTAAATAAATAAATGAGATGTTTCAGGACACAGAGTTTTTTAATCTTAAATCCTTTAGGGAATTTTTTTATTATCTTTAAGTAGTTGTATGAAGCGGTTTCAGTTCAACATATCACTTTATGAATACATTGTACCTTTATCAGTGTGAACCCTTTCATCATTCTCTCCCACTTTAAGGAAAATGTTTAGTATTAATTATAGGAAGAGATGGACAGAGGAAGGAGCTGTTATCTCCACTATATTTGTTTTTTGTTTTGGGGGGTTTGTGGGAGGGGTCCGGTCGTGGGGCTTGAACTCTGGGCCTGTGCGCTGTCCCTCAGCTCTTCAGCTCAAGGCTAGTGCTCTACCCCTTGAGCCACAGTGTCACTTCTGGCTTTTTTTTTCTTTTTTTGCTTATGTGGTACTGAGGAATGGAATCCAGGGCCTCAGGCATGCAAAGCAAGTGCTCTACCACTGAGCCACCTTCCCAGCCCCTCTCCACTATATTTGTATAATACTTTATTTTTACAGTAAATTTCTGATTTTATTAACTAATTGACACTATAAATTTTGAGGTATTTGGGCTGGGAAGGTGGCTCAGTGGTAGAGTGCTTGCCTTGAATGCATGAGGCCCTGGGTTCGATTCCTCAGCCCCACAGAAGCAGAAAAAGCTGGAAGTGGTGTTGTGGCTCAAATGGTAGAGTTAGTTAGCCTTGAGCTGAAGAGCTGAGGGACAGTGCCCAGGCCCAGAGTTCAGGCCCCATGACCGGCAAAAAAAAAAAAAGAGGTATTAAAAAAGACAATGAAAGCTGGGCCCCAGTAGCTCACACCTGTAATCCTAACTACCTACGAGGCTGAGATCTGAGGATGGGGGTATGAAGCCAGCCCGAGCAGAAAAACTCCATGAGACTCATCTCCAATTAACCACCAAAAACCCAAAAGTAGAGCTCTGGCTCAAGTGGTAGAGCACTAACCTTGCATACAAAAGCTTAGTGACAGTGCCCAGGCACTGAGTTCAAACTCCAGGACCAGCACAAAAAAAAAGTAATGAAAGCCACCGGGTGCCATAACTAAGCTACTCTGGAGACTGAGATCTGAGGATCTCGGTTGAAAGCCAGCCTGGGCAAGCAAGTCCATGAGACTCTTATGTACAATTAACCACCAGAAAACCCGAAGTGGTGCTATGGCTCAAGTGCTAGAGCATTAGCCTTGAGCTGAAGAGCTGATGGACAGCACCCAGGCCCAGAGTTCAAGACCCATGACCAACGAAAAAAAAAAGTAATGAAGATATCTACAAAAGAGATTATGTACTGAGAAGCTATTAACTCAAAAACTAGAGCAAATATTTTTGAAAAGTAAAGAGATATAATAATTGAACAGTGTTTTACCTGTATTGTGACTTACTTTTATGTACCAGAAATTTGGAGGAGTTTTTGTTTTATTTTTTAGGTTGAGGGTGTAGTTGCTGTTGGGATTTTTGTTGTTTTTAATTATTTGGGGGGAGGAGTATTATGACTAGAATCTACCTTCTTATTCAAGAAGGGTAAATGAGTTCTTTAAAAAAATTCTGAGAAGCCAGGTGCTGGTGGCTCATGCCTGTATTCCTAGCTACTCAGGAGGCTGAGATCTGAGGATCTCAGTTCAAAGTCAGCCTAGGCAGGAGAGTCCATGAGACTCTTATCTCTAATAAATCACTCAGTAAAAGGGAAGTGGCAGAGTGGCTCAAGTGGTAGAGTGCTAGCCTTGAACTGAAGAGCTGAGGGACAGTGCACAGCCCAGAGTTCAAACCCCAGGACCTACCGACAAAAACAAACAAAAAAAGCAGCCAGACAGCTTCCTATAACCCACAGATAGTTAACTCTCACACCGAGCCCTCAGGCAGCTGGTTTTAAAGGGCCTAGTGCTAAAAAAGTAAGTTAGCACTTGGCCTCTCTTATTAAAGTATTTGCCTGATGTTTCTTAGGGTAGCAAGAAGGACTGTGGACTGCATTACTTGGGCTACAATTGGCTGAGAGACCTAGGTAAGGTGGACCAGTTGCCTGTTCTTTGAATTCCTTCATTTTTTTTTTTTTACTTTTCTGCTACATTGATCTCATCTAAATCAACTTCATTTCAAAATATGTAATCACAGATTTTTTCCCAGTTCTGTTCTAGTCTTATTTTTGACATACACATACAAATGTAAACAGTTTCTGTTAACCAATGAAAAGTACAATATTTTGAGTAAGAATACCAAGAAACTACAAGCGCCATTTTAAAAAACCCTTTAAATTCTTTTCATTTTGCCAGGTGCTGCTGACTCATGGGTGCGGGCTGAGATCTGAGGATCACTGTTCAGAGCCAGCCAGGGCAGGAAAGTCCGTGGGACTCTTCTCTTGAGCAAAAAGGGACAGCCGCCAGGCCCTGATTTCAAGCCCCAGGGTGGACCAAAAGGGGGGGAAAATGCTTCACTTACCACTGGCTTTAATTTCTCGAACATAATTACTAGGGAACCAGCCTGTTCTTCCATTTAATGTGCCTTCCCACCAGCCTCCTTCTTCAACTCGAGTGACATAAATGATGTCTCCTTTACAGACAGATAGTTCATCTTCATTAGTCTGCTTAAAGTTGAATCTTGCCTTCACTATCAACTGGTGACTTCCATTCTCTGTCATCTCCTAGAAATAAAGCCACACCAGATTAAATCAAGCATGGGTAGAAATTACATAGATTCAGGCAAAATAAAGTCGAGTGAAAGATAAGAATTTTTAAAAAGAATGTGTGGGGCTGGGAAGGTGGCTCAGTGGTAGGGGCTTGCCTTGCATGCATGAGGCCCTGGGTTCAATTCCTCAGCACCACATAAATAGAAAAGGCTGGAAGTGGCGCTGTGGTTCAAGTGGTAGAGCGCTAACTTGAGCTGAAAAGCTGAGGGACAGCGCCCAGGCCCAGAGTTCAAGCCCACGACTGACCAAAAAAAAAAAAAAAGAATGTGTTCATTTGGCTAAGAAGTATGGAATGTCAAGGATCTCCCATGATTACCTAAATCAGTTCTTCACCGGCCTTATATAAATTGGGATTAACTTTGTGAGGGTCACAGATGCTTTTGAGAAAGTGGTCAACATAATAGATTTCTGATCAATGGAATTGATACTCATAAGATTTTGTACCCAATTTAAGAGAGCCCAAGGACTATTCATCATCTTCTCAAAGGAGCTCAGAAAGATTAAGAACTACCTATTTAAAGTGCTTTGGTATCAATAGATAAAGATAGCCTACATGCATAAGTGGCTTTTTCAATAAGGTAGAAAGATTTCACCTAAAGGGCAAAAGATGGGGCATTTCCTTTTCTTTTGCTCTCTTTTTAGTCAGTTGTGGGGCCTGAACTCTGGGCCTGGGCACTGTCCCTCAGCTCTTCAGCTCAAGGCGAGCGCTCTACCACTTGAGCCACAGCACCACTTTCAGCTTTTTTTTTCTTTTTGCTTATGTGGTGCTGAGGAATCAAACCCAGGGCCTCATGCATGCAAGGCAAGCACTCTACCACTGAGCCACCTTCCCAGCCCAAGATGGGACATTTCCTTCCAAATAAAAGCTCCTAACAAGAATAGTAAGACCATATGCAAAGACAATTGGAAGATCCCAATACAGAAGTTCATCACTAGCTGATATTTAAAACTTAGTAGGAAATCAAAGCGAAATAAAGATGACAATAGTAATAAGAACAGTAATGAGTACTTATTGATTGTCTACTAAGTGCCAGGTATTTACTATTTAGTTCTGATAAACCAGAGGTCAGAAATATAACAGCAAATTGCAATCAGAAGAAGTTTGAAGGACTTACATTTGCATAACATTCTCATTTAAGAGACTTACTGGATTCTAGCAATCAACAGAGCTGGGGGCTTCAACCCTTTCTGTCTTTGGCCCCCAGAAACCTGACAATTCCATTGAGATATCCTGAACTGGTGCTTATTTTATAACTCCTTTTTTGGGTGATACACAAAACAAAAGACAATGGCTATGTTACCATACAGGGAAATTCAGCTGGGCTATTAATCTTATTTGGTTAGATTCTTAAACCTGCTGGGGGAATGGGAGACTATACTCACCACTGCCTTTGACTGCCTTTGGGGCCCTGGAGCTGTGCTAGAAACCGCTCCCTCTGGGTTTGTCTGAGAAGTATTAGCAACACTAAGAGAAGAGGAATGTCCACATGGTCTTTCTGATAGCTGATCTGTAAAAAGAGGAAAAGGCATGGTAAATGAACCATTCGTGTCAGAAATCATCTACAATATAACATTATCTTTCACAGGACACAATGAAAGGCATCCTAGCTGTGATTCTGTTCTCATAAACAGGCCAAGTATATTTTGGTTCCACCCCGCCCCTCCCTTTCCCGTGGCCAACTTCTTAACTTTACTGGCAATTGCTCTCCAGTAGAATGAAAAACAGTGACAGAACCACATTTTCTCTCAACCCATTTCTCTACAACTCTTCCTGCTTGAACTAGCTGTTAACAATCAGCCCTGCTAGCCAAGGCAGAACTAAATTGGGTACCTCCCAGCTGTTTGTGGCTCTTATTACTTCGAAATATTTCAAATTTCTGACTTTGTTTTTGGCTCCTAGCTCAGTGGCTCTTTTCTTATATGGAATAATATGTGCCGTGTATATAATGTGATTTGTGTTGGGGGAAGGGGTGGAGAATGAGAATGACTGGGAGGGTATATCTGAGATAGATGCAATTTTAATAGTCAAATAATCGGGGTTGTTGCTGTAGGCTTCTTGTTTGTTTTAAGACCAAACTCAAGATTCTTGTCTTTCTTGAAACCTTTGTGAAATTCGATGAGGCCAGAGCTGAGCCGGGTGTTTTCAGTATGCTGAGAGTAGTAAAGAGAGAGACTGGCTGCTTGACAAATTCAAATGAGGCTTCTTTTCCTCTCCATTTATTTTTAAAAGATATAAACTGCAAAAGTCTAAAGCCCAAACATTCCCTACGCGACAAGCTCAGTACCCAAGTAATTTCCTTGAGGGTATGGGGTTTTAACTTTCACCTCCTTGTATTTTTATAAATATCTGTGGTAAGGGAAGAGACTGTAAAGCTTGCTGGGAGAGTTTGGCAAAGGAACATATAATTTGTGTGGTATAATGTTAGAATTATACGATCTTCTTTGCCCAGAACTGGATAGTTGTCATGTGTGTTAAATATAGTTACTTGAATTAGCTGTACTTTCTGCTATATGCCTTGCTCAAAAGTATTTTTTTTCCAAATAGCAAAAGAACAACTTTGGAGAAGTATTTTTACATGTCTTGCTATTATATACAGCTCTTTTTGACTAAAACTATAATTACTTGATAGCTGCGTAGATGCTCCATCCTGGTTGGTGCTTGATTATATTGTCTGCTCTTGTTCTCTAATTGTTTCACGTGGGTAAGATGAGTATCCCTAAATAGATGGTAATTTTCTCCAGGGTGGAGACCTTCTCTTCTACTTCCTTTGTAGCACCTGGCAGTGTTGGGCACACAGCCCCTTAGCTCTCCAGCTCGTTGAGAAGCATGATTCATGTTTCATCAAGGATGCTAGACTTTGTCAGGCACGGGTTTGAATTCCAGTTCTAGTTGGGCAAATGTGGGCCTGAAATCCCTTATCTGTAATGTGGACAACTTCATTACCATCATCAGAATGATGATATCTATTCCATCGAGTGTTTTTAAGATTGAATGAGAATACCTATTGCTCTTAGGATAGCCTAGACCCAGGGAAAGGGCTGAAAGCATTGGAATAAAATGATACAACTAAGTTTAGCACTATTTTCTTCAAATGTACTAGGATTCATAGTCACTAGTCTCTAGAGTGGTGGATGTTAAACCTTTGAATATGGTAGTCTTTTCATTTACTGCGAAGTCTAAGTTTTATTTCCAGTGTAAACCTACTGAGGAGTTCCTTTACATGACCAAAGCATACAAAAAAATCAAAGACATACAAAACTCAATGATAAAAATACATTTGTAGTGGAGAAAAGAAAGTGATAGTTGTATCTTGTAAGTTCTATTTTAAAAAAGGAACCGGTCTTTTCCTTTCTATTTTCTGTCTCATTATATATTCAGTCAACGATGTAAGAATTTTGAATGAAATCATTTTTGTTGTCATTATGATATTATAGGCATTAGAAGAAGTCTATGGGTATGTTTAAAACCTATGATAAATGTGTTTAAGCCATGAAATTTGAAGTATTTGATATTCGTTTGGTTTTATTTCAGGGCAACTTTGTGCCAACTGAATAAACCTGACCAGAGTTGGCTACTAAGGTAATCAGAAATAGATCCTGCTGGGCACCAGTGGCTCACACCTGTAATCCTAGAGGCTCTGGAGGCTGAGATCTGAGGATTGCGGTTCAAAGCCAGCCCAGGTAGGAAAGTACATGAGACTCATATGTCCAATTAAGCATCAAAAAAGCCAGGAGTGAAGCTCAAGTGATAGAGTGCTAGCCTTAAAAAGGCTCAGAGACAGTGCCAAGGCCCTGATTTCAAACCCCAGGACCAGCACACACACACAAAAAAAAATTAAAGAAATACCATGGATCCCAAAAGTCATCAATCACACCCAGAAAACACAAAGCACAAATCTCCTTACCTTCTGTTGCTTTGTTAACAGCTAAGAGAGTAGTCACAACCCTGGAGAAATTGACCCCTGAATAAAGGTCATCAGGATTAAATCCCTATGAGAAAGGAAAATTGAAACTATAAGACACTATAAATACTCAACAAACAAAACTGTGAAAAGGCCACTTCCTCCAGATCTCAGGAGAGAAAAAAAAACTGTAAAAGCCAAGACGCAAATCTCTGTATACCTTGGGGAGAAATGAGAGCGGCAGCTGAGCCACTTAATGACATGTGGCGGGCCATCAGTGAGTCAGAGCAAAGCAGTAATGGGAAATGAGAGGCCAGCTGAGAAGCAGCAACCCCCTCCACTCTTCCCCGAACCACCACCCAGGAAATGCACACTGCATGCTCAGACCCACTCTTCTGGCCTGAACATATCAATATTGTCAGCTCAGTTACCGGAAGTTCATATGTATGGGTTACAGTTAATGCTTGTCACCTACAGAAAGTCCTCACCCATCCACACATAAATAAGTGGAGGCTCTTTGACCCACTTTCTTCTTGTCTGTTAATTCACTGTAGTCAGTGAAGTGCCTTTCTCTCCTCCTTCCCTTCCTCCCTGCTGAGGCCCACTGGATCCGAGCTCCCTAGGATGGTTACTCCATTTTGCCAAAGTTACTGCACAGGTCTGCCATTTGCTCCCAGCCTCAGTTCTTGGTTTCAGTTGCTTGTCTTGGCCTTTCTTGGTAATCTGGGAGGATTTGAACCTTAGTCCTTCCCAGCGCATGAGTGCTTCCTGGCTTTAGATGACTTTTTCACATATGACCTTTGGCCTCCTAGATACCACTCATCTCTCAGCAAGACAAATTTAAATGCAAATTTTACTTTGCCAGTCTCTGCTACCATTCTGGTTTGCTACAGTCCCTAGTGAAGACATCAATTACCTATCATTGTTTTAACTCTATTATGATTTGTTAATTTTAAAATGTATTGGCTGGGGGCTGGGAAGATGGCTCAGTGGTAGAGTGCTTGTCTTGCATGCCTGAGGCCCTTGGTTCCATTCCTCAGCAACACATAAACAAAAAAAGCCGGACGTGGCGCTGTGGCTCAAGTGGTAGAGTGCTAGCCTTGAGCTGAAGAGCTGAGGGACAGCGCCCAGGCCCAGAGTTCAGGCTCCACGACCAACCAAAAAAAATAAATAAATAAAATGTATTGGCTGTGTTAAAATCTATTGAATCCAGGCAAGGATGGTTCACATCTATAATCCTAGCTACTAGGGAAGATGAGATGTGATAATGGCTTGAAGCCAGTCCCAGCAGAAAAGTCTACAAGAGTCTAATTAACTGGCAAAATGCTGGAAGTGGAGCTATGACTTAAGTGGTAGAGTACATTCCTTGAGAGAAAATGCTAAGGGAAAGCTGGGTGCTTAGTGCCTCACACCTGTAATCCTAGCTACTAAGGAGGCTGAGATCTGAGGCTCATTGTTCAAAGCCAGCCCATGTAAAAAGGTTGATGAGTCTCTTATCTCCAATTAACCATCAAAAAAAATGGAAGTGGCACTGTGGCTCAAAGTAGTAGAGCACTAGCCTTGAGCAAAAAGTGCTCAGGGCAGCAGTCAGGCCCTTGAGTTCAAACCCCACCACCCTACAACAACCCAAAAAGCTAAGTGATCATTTTCAGGGCCTGATTTCAAGCCCTGGTACACAAATAAATAAATAAATAAATAAAATCAAACAAATAAATTGAGAATTCTTTCCCCCCTCCTTTTTTTATCTTGAGCGTGACCTGGATTTTGAACTCAGGGCTTGGGCACTGTCCTTGAGCCTTTCTGTACTCAAAGCTAGCTCTTTACCACTTGAGCCACAGTTCCACTTCCACCCTTTTCTGTTTATATGGTACTGAAGAATCAAACCCAGGGCTTCATGCATGCTGGGCAAGTACTCTACCACTGAGCCACATTCCCAGCTCCAAATTGAGAATTTTTATAGTCTCAAATGAGTGTTCTTATGCACAGACCCATGTATTAATTTGCCAGTCAACAGTATAGATATAGGTGTTATGAAGGAGGCTCCCATTTAGGAAGACATGACAAACAAAAAGAGATATCAAGGTCTATATGAAATGTAGGGGCGCCTAGCACACAGAAAACAAGCCAAGTGGAATGAGGAAGTGAGTCAAGCTTTCAAAATGGGTCAGATGAAGTGCAGATACGAAAACTAGGCTCTCGAGATGTTTCTGTGCCCATGAAATTTGAATCATGGTCAGAGAAAGAGACAGCTAATCCCGACATTCTACAAAAAGAGAGTTAACCTATTGACAAATATCCCCACTAACCCTGCAAAAGCCTGTCCTCACTCCATATTGGAACAGCAGAAGAAGCAGCAGCAAGAGCAGCAAGAATAGCACTACCTATCTTCCTGCCATGCTTCCCTTGTGTTGCATCTTAATAAACCTTTGCTAGCTACTTAAAAAAAAAAATCCATGACACATATCGCTAGGTAACCAGATGCTCATCTTCTGAATGAAATGCTCCATCCTGAAACATTTCTTTCCAAGATGTTTCAAGCACTCTTGAAGAAAACAAATTGAATCCATTTCCCCCAAATGTAGCAGTGGGAGTAAAATATACCTTTCCATATGAGACAGGGTTAACACTGATTTTAAGGCTCTGCCTTTCCATTAGGGAGAGCCATTTGTTCCATTTTTCATCTGCATAATTTCTGGGAGCTGTGTCAAGATAAACCTTTATCTTCTTTTTGCACATATTCTTGAAGACTCAAAATTCATTTCTAAAATCAAACTATATAATAATTCATATTGCGATGCAGGTATGTGCAAATGTGAGTCTACATAAGGCCACCTGTTCTGGAATTCACAACTCTACTATAAATGTAATCCATGAATGGTTTGTATTCAACACAAAAATGACTGATGAGCCCAATTACATCTAAAAATGAGCCACTGACATGCTTTTAGTAAAAGGTAATGTTAATATTATTAAGAGTTAATGGACACTACCATCCAAATATATTTTTTCCATATATATTTTTATTGTAAAAATAGTGCACAGAGGGTTTACAGTTACATAAGTAAGGTAATGAGTACATTTCCTATGGAGCATTGTTATCTCCTCCTTTGTTTTTCCCCTACCATCCCTTCCCTTCCGACCTCCCCAAATCCTCCCTCATCCCCCCGCAAAATTGTAAAGTTCATTTTCAACATAGTGTCTTGTCCATCTCATTGTACAATGGGTCGACCTTTATCCTTATTTAAGAATTTTGTTATTTCCCTTCCCCTCCCCAAATTATAAAAATGTATATACAAGATGCAGGACACTAGAATCAGATACAGTGAAAACAGGGGTTATACTGTGGGGGAAGAACATACAAAAGAAACAAAAGAATCACATAGTGCATCATAAGTAGGTAAAAACAATAGCAAATATATTTCTAAGTTCAACAATATAAAATACGAAGTCTTCAGTAATGAATTGACAGAAATTCTATTTCAGTTTGTCAAAACCCTAAGTTCCCCTTAGAGTGGACAAAGTGGGTAAGTGTGAATGACATCTGTGCCAAAATAATCACCAAGCAAAAAATTAGCAAACTAAGATATAAAGAGCAAAAGCAGTGATTAAAAAAAAAATCTCCCCCCTTTGTTTTAGTTTTTCCTTACTCTGGTTAATTGAATGCCTTTTTGTGGTAATACTAAAATTACCACTTGACTGAATTTGAGAGCTGATCATAAAATGAAATGTGCATCAACAAGAGTGATTTTATATACCTAAGAGAAGTTTCTTAGACTGTACATAGTTCCCTTTTTAGAAAACCCAGATATCCTTAAGTTTAACCACAGACTCTGAGCCGCTTATGGCAAACCTATTCTATAGCACTAGGAACTGCACAGGAAGGAACGGCAAGAGGCCAGTGGGATTTGGTAGGAAAGACAATGCATAAGGATTATTATTTTGAGCAGTTGGAAAATCAGATAGAATTACCATCACCTTCTAAACATTTCACCATGGGCTGAGGATATAGATCAGAAGTAGACTGTTTGCCTAGCATGCACAAGGCCATGGATTCAACTCCCAGTGCTACAGGGGCTGGGAAGGTGGCTCAGTGGTAGAGCACTTGCCTTGCATGCCTGAGGCCCTGGGTTCGATTCCTCAGCACCACATAAGCAAAAAG